ACGGTAGTTTTTACAGTCCTGCTGCGAGCCCTTTCCCTTATATATTGGGACTATAACGGCTTTGCACCAGTCTTCCGGTACCCGCTTCAGTTCCCAACATAAATTACACAAGGTGCACAGCAGGCCTGCAACCACACCCTCTCCAGCCCGTAGCATTTCGAGTGATATTCTATCATATCCGGCTGCCTTACCTGCTTTCATGCTTTTCATTGCTTTCATTATTTCATCTACACTTATCTCCCTACCTCTCTCCACTTCTTCCGGAATTTCTATTTCACTTACTTCAGACGACTCTTCACTCTTAAACACGCTTACAAAGTATTCCTTCCATCTCTTTAAATTCGAATCTTCATCATTCACCATGCAGCCATTCTCGTCTCGTATAGCATTCATTCTAGGCTGTTTTGAATTTCCCCTGGCAGTTCTTACGAGTTTCCAGAACATTTTAATATTTGCCTGGAAGTTATCAGATATCCTTCTATCATCCTTATCTATCCTTTCTTGCTTATTCCTTTCAACAACTTCTTTTACTTCATTAATACGTCTAATGTCTGCCTTTTTTCTTTCAATCTCATCATTCATACCGCCAAAATTACCAGCTTTAGTTGCTAGTAAATCTAACCATGCTCTATTCTTTGCTTCAACTTCCATCCGTACCTCATCATCCCACCACAACGTATTACTTTTCCTTTCATTCGTTCTCTTACTTACACCACATACTTCAGTTGCTGCATCCGCCAAAACTTTCTTAATATTATTCCATACATCCTTCAAGTCTAAATCATTCATACATAATTCATTCAACCTACTTATATTTTCATCTTGTAACCTCTCTATCCTTATACGCTGTAACGCAGTGGTAGACACAGATGTCCGATGCCGCCAACGTCTGAATAGGCCATTAATTCGGCATAAGACCAAGTAATAATCCGTCCCTACGTTGGACCCCCGGTAAACCCTTGTATCTACCACTGCGCTCCTCATTCTTTCATCCACAATTATGAAATCTATCATGCTTCTATCATCCCCTCTTTCCCATGTATACATGTGAATCCTCTTATGGCGAAAGAAAGTGTTCGCCACAAAAATATTCTTTTCCACACATACGGTGAGGAGGTCTTCACCGTTCTCATTTATTCTTTCATCGCCAAACGTTCCTAATACCCTTTCATAACTAGACCTCTTCGCCCCAACCCTTCCATTAAAATCTCCAAACATAATAATATTTTCATTTTCCTTACATTTCATCAACGCCTTACCATGTCCCAAAACTGCTCTCGGATATAAGTGGGCTTAGACATATCTGGGGCGTACACCCCTAACACAAACAATTTCTTTAAGCCCACTTCATTCGTATCCACAGCATCCTTGGGCTTACACATTCATACTATTTCACACATTGACGCATTCTTTCTGAAAGGATGACACCAACTCTCTGGCATGTCCGCTCGGTCTCGTCTACTCCAGACCAGTAAGCGGTATACATGCCATGTGCAGTGACATCTCTTCCCTTTCGTTTCTTCTCATTCACACATAACACATCTATTCCTCTATCATTCATCATTTCGCATACTTCATCCATCTTATCATTCATAGCTCCACATACATTCAGCGTAGCCAGACGGGCCTCCGCAATCCACTTTTCGGCCCTCCGGGAGACAGGACGTGACGGGTGGCGAATCTCGTCGCCGGTTTTTCTCCCGGAGATTCTTCGCACCCCTGCCCCATTAAAGGGGCGCCGGGAATTCGGGGCCATTTCATTGACTTGAAACTTTTTGACTATAAAACAGTTTGTCAATTATTAAGCTAACTTCCATATTTTCAGACATGTAAAGATTTATGTGACAGACTTGATTTCATAGCTCATATGGAATATATTACGCGAACCACTACACATTGAATAAAACTATATTTACGGATTTTATCGAGTTTTTTTTAATTATTTTAATTTTCGACGTTTCGGGTGCTTTACAGCACCTATGTTCACGGCGGTGGGGGGGGGGGGGGGGGGGGGGGCTGAGTTGTTTGAAGTCTCGATGTCATAGCTACCTTCAGATTTCGAATATAAATTTTTGGTCCGATCTATTCAGAATGAGCGTATCTTGAAGTCTTGCAGTGGCATACTTGGGTTTGGATTTAATTTTATTAATTATAGGATCCCATATGGGTGCTGCCATCGGCTCGGGATGATATAATTAATAAAATTAAACAATGTTTATTTTATAAAAAGAAATAGGAATAATAGCCCACGCGAGTGATGCCGCGGGTAAAAACTAGTGATATGAACAAATGTTTAAATATAATATGCATTTTGTATTATTACTTGAAAATAAAATGCCTTCCTAAACTATTTAAATTATTGGTAACCACTCCAATTTCTGCTTTGGATGTTTGTCCGCGCGATACATGAGAAAGTACTAGTGTATGCGTAACAGCTAAAAACATAGTTATAGAAAAATAATATAGATGCAAGTATCTATATGCGATCGCAATACAATGAAAATTATATGAATACTAGCTGGCCAGGCAGACGTTGTTCTGCCCTTTTCGACCACCCTTCCTATAAAAAATCCTTAAATTCGTAATAAAAAAATATTGAGTGTCACTTATCAAGATAAAAACTATCCTATCTCTCAAATTGGACCAAACTGCACAGAGGGTGCAAAATTTTATTGAAATCAGTTCAGTAGTTTAGAAGTTCATCGCGGACAAACAATGTGACACGTAATTTTTATATATAAAGATAATATCGTACAAATATGAAGTTTAAAATAAATAAAAACATATAGATTAACTGAGAATATATCTGTATCCTCAATAAATGAAGTTAATTAATTATTTAATGTATATTGAGCCCTGTAGTGACGGTGTAAGAATATCCACTACCCCATATCCCATATCGTCCCGTGGGATTCATAAGAGGCGACAGAGGGAAACTAACTAGAAGATGGGCAGCAGCGTCTTCCTAATAATAACTAAAAAAATGACTTAAAATCTGCGGTTACGAGACCAGCCTTGTTGCCAAGTATGGAAAAAGTTAAAAGTGGTAGAGCCACGCGGCAGCGTTTGCTGTCGCACGGATGGGCCGGCTCGAAACGGGATGGTACCACGACCTCACAGAAAAACAGCGTGAAGTAGAGGTTTACCTCTGCGTTTCGCTTGGTGAATGCAGGTGGCCGGAGGCCCTCTTTACTGGAAATGAGGCATTCCATCTTAGTCCTCACGGGTGACAACGCATCTACATTTTGATTTCTAATAGAGGACAGCAACCACTTACCATCAGGTGGACTGTGTGCTCGTTTGTCACCCTTATCCTAAAAAAAAATGGAAACTATATCCGTCATATGAGGCAATTTACGGGAGACGTTTATGTTCAGCAGTGGACTTTTATAGGCTGTAACGGTATTAATATAATATTAAACTCGTAATAAATATCATAGTGTTTTTATTTGTGCATATCTATGTGAATAATATGTAATTTATCAAATAATACGTTTTGAATGATAGATGTGTGCTGTCGGTAAACGTTTGAAGAGCACATCAATGATAATAAAGAGACGGTAATGTGAGTCACTTCCTTATCATAAACTAAGGATGACAGTGCGTGTAGCTTTCACCGGTTTATGCCTCAAAGGATAACCTACAAGCAAGTACTTCCTTGTGTCCCACTTCATACAAAGAGCTATGAGTATAATAAGTAATCTCATCCAATGTGCTACGAAAAATAAAGTCATGTTTCATAAATAGATCGATGATGAAAATTTCACGTACCTATATATTTAAGTATGTGTTGCAACAGACGAAATTTAAAAAAAAAAACACATTCTAATTTCAATAGAGAAGATGGCTGGGTGGGATTCCATAATTGATAAAATTAAATCCAAACCCAAGCGTACTTACTGTAAGCTCGTTATTCGTAGATTGGGTTATCAATGACATCAGGAGGTCAAACATCTCAGTCCCCCCCGAGATCATTGGTGCTGTAAAGTGCCCGAAACGTCAGGAAATAAAAAGTTAAAATTCAACGCTATAAAATCCATAAAATTAGTTTTATTCCATGTGTAAATATAAGAAATTATTATGCGTACTTACTGTAAGCTCGTTATTCGTAGATTGGGTTATCAATGACATCAGGAGGTCAAACATCTCAGTCCCCCCCGAGATCATTGGTGCTGTAAAGTGCCCGAAACGTCAGGAAATAAAAAGTTAAAATTCAACGCTATAAAATCCATAAAATTAGTTTTATTCCATGTGTAAATATAAGAAATTATTATGTAAACACGTATATATTGTTTACCATTCATTTAATTTAACATTTTTTGATCATGGCCACCTAACTGCCCATAACTCTCTCTGCGTTATATCCAAGGTTAGCTGGCAGAGAATGTCATATAGCGTTACACTCGCCCTTTGTATAGGATTTTATATTATATTATATTTCATTTAAATATATAGGCTATATATGTAGGCAAACGACATCTTTACTTTTCTTTAACAGAATAGTTTTATATTACCTTTTAAATAGTGAACACCCAACCAATGGGTTTTGAATAGTGAATAGTTGATTAAATAAATCGTTAAAAGTAAAATTACAGCCGATATACGTCCCACTCCTGTTCACAGGCCTCTTCTCACTTCTGAAAGGGTTTTAGGGCAAGGAACGATCCGCCACGGATCGGACGGCGGGGATCGAACCCGGGTTGCTTGTGTACTATGAAATTCACAGCGAGCGCTAAGCCCCTGAGCAACCGCGGCTCTTAAATAAATCGTTACTAGCTTATAATAGTTCACTACTGAAAGCAGGCCAAACAGGAGTTGGGAGGATTTGGGTGTTGGCAGCATCAGATACTTCGCACCATAGACACTATTCCCCGTTATCCGACCTTAAGTAAATAATTATCTTCCCAGTAGGTAGTTTGTGTAGTAAGTCCGATTTTCCAAAACCTAAATATTACTAGCTATATTAACTTACATTGTTTCAAGCTATCTTTTCAGATGTTATGCTTTTTAGGAGGTAAGTGTGAGCTATTACGCTATATAAGGTTAGTGGTTAATTTTCGTTTTACATAATATATATCTTTAAAACCAACAAAAACTAAATGAATGAGAAATTAATCTGAATGACAGAGTGAGAAATTGTGTGATAAGAGAAGAGTGCGGTTTGCAAGATGATGTTGTGACCAGGATTAAGAAAGGAATGCTTCGGTGGTTTGGTCATGTAGAAAAAATGAATGAGGAAAGCATGACAAAGCAAATTTATGTTGCAGAAGTGAACGGAAGAGCCGGGAAGGGACGCCCTAGGCGAAAGTTTATCGACCAAATTGGCGATATATAGAAAATGGGCCAAAACAAGAATACCTTTAACCGACGAGCGTGTATGCGTAGGTATGTCAGGATCGTGTCAAATGGAAGTCCATAGTCTCTGCCTACCCCTCTGGGTGACAGGCGTGAGTGTTTATGATATAAAACCAACAATAATATCTATGACGTTTGGTTTCATTCATTGCACAAATACGTAATTAGAACCTGATTAAATTTTTATCAAAATCGATTCAGCAGATTTTGTTATGAATAAATTATAATAAACTAACGATACGACCCCGCTTCGGATGATTTCTGGATTTCGACAACAGCACCAGCTACCGGCTTCAATTGTGAATCTATACCATCCAGGGACCTACTTAAATACTCACAATAAATTTCATCAAAATCGGTCGATCCATTTTCTAGCTTTAACGAGACTAACGGATAGCAATTGATTTCATATACTTAATAGAGATTTACTGAAAAAATAGTTACCTAATCGATATAATACTTAATTGATAATCTGTACTATTTACTTAAACAGATTTTGATTATTGTCAGAGCACTTTTTTTAAAACGCAATCGTTTAATGGTCCTTTTAAATTTTTCATACTCCCAAGTTTTCTTTCACGCCCTTCCAAGGCACGCATTTTATGCAATTCTATACTCGAAACATTTTCGACGTTTGTTCCGTCATCTATTACATGATGTAAAAATCTTAGTACTTAATGACTTCCCGTAGTCGATAAATAAATAATATTAATCAATTTAAATATTCTTTCAATATTTTTATACTCTTACGAGAAAATGCAAAGATTGATATTTAGTAATGGCTTTTTAATTGATGTCCGGCGAGGCTTATCCGATCACGCACCACACATTTAGCATCAAAATATATGAATAATTGAAGATTCACGGTCATCCCTCACTGAGCTTTAATTGCTTGATAACCGAGAGGCTCCACGTAAACGACATTACAAAATAATTACTAGCCGTACGAAATCTTAAGAAAACGTTTTACGTTACGAAAACTCGCGTCTCATAAAATTCTAACATGCGTTCATTGATGGGCTATTGTTTCAGCAATAGTATTTATTCAGTTATTAAGCAGCAATGCGCAGCTCGGTGTTATTTGCACGAAATCGATAATATATGCGTTAAAACAAGTTGATATTTAGACACGGCTATTGGTTTATAGTTATCAACTTGAATCTGCGTGTGAGGAGGGACATCCATCTCCAGAGGGCGACATTGCGGCATCATAAAGCGCCAGGGGAGTTGTGGGGTGCGTATATAAGTCGCAGACGGCACCGGGGCGTGACATCAGTCACTTCCAAGCTCTCTTGAAGGCACTATTGTCAATAGCAGCCATAGTTGCAACTGTGTTTGTGTCGTATCATTTGTGCTCAAACTTGTTAACGGTAAGTCTTAAGCTTGTTCTTTACGAACATTACGCTGTTGGTTGCTTAGGTTTTATATACTATTCAAAATTTTAAAAATGTATATAAGAAAAATTATGTTCACAGAAACTGATATTTTGCGGTTTTATATTTCTAATAAAAATATAAATTAAAAATAAAATAATCCGACTTATGCGGATTTCATTCCTTATTGCAACTATTTGAAAGAAATTAGAAATTGTAAGTGTCTAAAATAAAAAAAGTTAAATAGTACTAATAGGTGTCACTGCTATTAGTTAATAAAAAAAAAATGACACGACTAATGTAAGATTAATTACCTCAATAAAAGCTCCCAATTAAATAACTACTTGTTGGTAGTAACTTTTTTGTACTTACATACTGCCACTTAGAAGTTTATTTTAAAATACTAAATTAAATTATAAGCGTATAAAACAGAGGTAATTGCAATTCAAATAGTATATAAAACCAAGTAATTTAACTGCATGTGATGAAATGCGAGTTCGAATGGAATGTTCTATTTATATACGTGTTTAAATGATAAAACTTTGTTTAGAATTCTATAATAATACTTTTAAGCGATTTTTTTAAAGTATTGAACTTCTGGAGCAGTGTCTTCAGTCAGTTGCCAATCCTCAACAGTCATGCAATGTTTACCCGTTAATCGGATCCTCCTTACATAATTGAGTAGTCGATCGCAGTTTGTAATTAGAGGATGCTTCTTCAACAACTACTTTTCTTTACATAGCTGTGAGTTACAGTAAATATGCAGTTCGATTTGTTGAGCTCAATTCCCAATGGGATTGCACATCTTCCACATTATTACAAAAAGAAATTTATATTTAGTCTCAGGTTCAAACTTTCTACCGTAAAAATATGCGAACTATAATGTTAAGTATACAATTTGATAGCAAATGTCAATTTCACATTATGTATTAAGTATGTATTTACTCTAACATGTATGATATTCCTCTAAGATTTCGCGAAGTATGTGGCGTTGCAGCTAAGGGACCTCTTTCGGAGAAGAACTCATCTTAAACCATAGTTTAAGCGCGAGATTATTAATAAACCATGTACATACGTTATATTCAAAGATAGATTTGTAGCCTTTTCGCGGAATAACTGGTTCATCCTAGGTTTGATCAACGCCTATCGGCAAATCTCGTTATGGGTTCTAATTTCTGCCTTTGACTAATGTATTTTTAGGAAACCCTAGATGTACCTAACTTTTAACGTCGTAAGCAAAATAATATGTTTCGAACTTTCACTAGTTCATCCTAAGTCTCAAAAGAGACTTAGACAAATTCAAAAAATTAAGTTTTGAAAGCGAAGTTAACGCAGAAAATTGCTAAACTAAATAAAGAAAAGTCTAAAATAATTAACACACGTTTTGCTAAGAGTTTTGCTAATTTATTAATTTCGAAGATGTGCCTGACGTTCAGAACTCTCTAAGGAAATCAATACAAAAGCCAAAGTTTCTTAAAATGCCATTGTATTAAAAAAATAGGAAATATGTTTTTATACCTAAGTCTAGCAAACTATCACATTCCTGTTTATTTTATAATTTAAGTCTGAATGGTCAAACCCCGAATTCATCGTAGATGAGTTTCGGTGTTTGACTGTCCATTTGGTCTCTCTTAGGATTAGACATAAATTCGTTTGTCAAAGGCCGAACCACGCTATTGGTTTGAACTTTGACTAAACTTGTTGTCAGACCTGAGGTTTGACTAGTTAAACCTAGGAGCAGAAGAGCTTCGATGTTTGACTTTAAGTAACCACGTTTTGTTATAAGATGAATTGTATATATGTGACATTAAACGTAGTGATTTATATCTTGGGATTTATTTACTCTTTGTGTGACATCAACGTGTGGCTAACAATATTTCATGATATAACCACAAATATATCTATTTTCGTAATGTTTTATTATCTACTAGCGAACTAGCGCCCCAGATACGCACGGTTGATTTTTGGATCTAGACAAAAACGTTACCTACCAGGTCTAATTGTAAATCTAAACCATTCTCTAATAAACTTAATCAAGCACACAAAATTTCATCAATATCGATCCAGCCGTTTAGTAGGTGTTCGGTCTATATAACATATAATATTCATGTATTATACATATAAATTTTCCTCTTAAATCATTCTGTCTATTGATGAAAACCGTATCAAAATCCTTAAATAAAGTAAGTTAAAATATCTAAGCGTACAGATGGCAAGAAGCGACTTTGTTTCATACTATATATAGAAACTTAAAATTTTCTTCACCATGCGAAAAATTAATTTTGGTACTCCCAAGTCTAGAATCTCAAAAATCTAGAATTGTAATTAAATAATCAAACACAATGTTTTCTTCCGTGCGTATCCAAGGATCTACTATCGGGCTCGCTCAGTCAATAGTTAACTTCATTACCAAGAGTTCACATCTAATTTAAAGGTCTAAAATAGGTTTATGTCCCTTTATGGAACTCTGTTAAGCTAATCATGAAAAGGCACGATGTTTTGCGAATTGGAGAGAAAAATGTAGCATCGTAGAATATGATACATAAAAGAATAATTAATAGTATTACCCGACTCTACACATCACCGTTTCGGAATAAATGTGTACAATTTTAGACAAACACGTTTACCGTTTTAAAGTGACAATGTGAATAAAAACCCAATTGCCGTTCACATCTAATCAAAGTTGTATGAGTGCAAGTTATCAATCACGACTCATCAACTCGTCAGATATCGTTGAAATCTAAGTACAGTATTACGATGTTTTGGTGGATGTGGTAACAGTTTTAGCTTTACTCTCTTTGTAAGAGTCAACTTGACGTAATTTCGAAAACGTGTGCGATTTTGTGATAAAAACACAACACAAAACTAGTTTTACTATATTAAATATTTGTAGTTTTACTATATTGTATATATCTCTAAAAGATTGTTATTTATATTCGTACGAATAACCAAACAAAAAGTTTTTACCTCATATTAAGTGTAGTTAAAAGAAAAGAGGGAAAACTAAATTCAGAAACGAACATATTTTTATTATTAAGGAATATTAATACGGTATGCTATTAAAGTATTATAACGTAATTAAGCCTTAAATGCTTAGCCGATTTTGCAAAAAAATTCTGATCACTTGGATAGTTATAAAAATTGATTTTAATCGTTTACGACAGGAATATTTGAAGAAGTTCCAAAATTTGCTAATCACAACATTTTTTTCCATTTGGATAAGACAATCACATATACACGTACACACGTTGCTTAATTTGCAAAGCTATTGTAAGCGAAAAATTGGTAATCGTTACTAAATGGCAAGTTTTTATTTGCGACCTTCAAAAGAAATACAAGAATTGTTGTAAAACAATTAAACTCGTTTAAAAAAACTAAAACTGGTTACTCAAACAAAAAAAAATTAGGGAACACGTGGTCGAGTATCGGAAAAAACTTATGTCTCAAGTCGAGTCTTTGTTAAATAAAGTATCGGATTGGGAGCTATTGAACCTAATCCAATTTAACCCTCAAATACAGGTTTGCATGTTTACAGCTGAAAAGAACTCCTTTTTCGTATCTCCCCAATTTCAGAGCACTCCTCTTGTTGAGCAAACGGAGATGTCGCATCCGTTTGCATATTCTGTCGCATCTACCACGGGAAGTAGTGCTCAGAGGAATTTTTCGGACCCGGTCGCAAATTTCACCATCGCACATCGCGACAAAACTCGTGATACCCATCAATACTGCAATTTACTAGGAGTTTTCTTCCCCGCACAAATTTCTTTTGGAATCGACTACAACCAGTGATTTTCCAAGCCGACTTAGTGGCCCTAAAAAAGAGCCTACTCTTTTAAAGTGTTGCAATTGATCATGGGCGGCGGCACTCAAATGCTCGTTTGCCGCCACTGCTATAAAAAAATACATATTAGCTTCTGGAAGTCCTGCTTCTGACGACATAATGTAAATTAAAGCACCGAAATCAGAACCTACTGAATAATATCAAAATCTATAGGAAGATATTGAATATACACAAAAAACATACGCGTCGAACTTATTTTTAACTTCTTATTTTTAAAACTCGTCTAATTATTAACCTCCGCCATAGTTGCCATGCTTGGCGGGCGGGTTGGCATATCCTCTCCGAGGAGACATTCATTCATGAGGGATTCTAAGTTTTTTGATAGGCTGTAATGATGATGATGATGAATCATCTCCGCGTATAAATCATTAACACAAGACAGCAATCACAAGTTCGCGTGCAGTATATTTTATTACTTACCTTAATTATATTAATATTTTTAACTGCGGTCATCTTACCTTAACCTTATTTTAAGGTCTCACTGATTGATCGCGTATTGGGAAGCTGCTGTTTATAAGCCAATTAAAATAATTAGCTGAGAAATAAAATACACTATTTAATTTTTGTATTCAACTATATTTTATGTTGAATTTCAGAGTTCTACTACTCGTATTAAGAACTCTTCTGGATCAAAGCATTTAATGTATAGTAAGCCTTTTGAGCTTTAAGTAATATACAGAGATATGCTCATATTTACATAAATTTTTTAATAAAATATTTTAGACAGCGCTACAACTTGTTAAGAAGATTTTGCGATATTTCTTCATAGTACAAACCGACCGACCAACATTATCTATAAATGAAAAAAATAGACAATTAACCAGCGCAAGGTGGTTGCCATCGAAAGGTGAATTTATTTCTGAAATTTGTTAACCGCCGTGCAATGTGTAATATGAATGTACATCAAAAATGAGAGAATACGATCAACATCTCATTGACATGAACTCTATGGATTTAATATTTATAGTCAATAATATTACATTTCAAGGGATTTGCTGAAATAATATTTATACAATCAAACTCGAATAAGGCTTCAAAGTGATCATTTAAACATCTCTTATAATATTCTTAATATCATCGGTATAAACTGAAGATCATCTATGTACAGATGGTTGAAACAATCGATACAGGAGTGAAAAGTAGGTTATATACATTT